AATAGTCCGAGGGATTCATAATCCCAGAATTCAAGTCTGACGAATTTTAATCCTCCCTTATCCAGTCCGTCCAATCAAACACACTCTAATAGGATGAGCTCAGGGGTGATAGAATAGGATCGGATCGGATTTAGAAAAAAAAATTAAAAACCCGATTGGGTTCATGTCGAAGGTGGGAGAGAGTATTTCTTTTACCCAAATCCTACTAGACTTACAAATAGAATAATAAATAAATAATTATATTACACATATATATGTAATATATGTATAATATATTTTTAAATTTTTATAAAATGTATATAATTTTTATATAATGTATTATTGAGTTTCTATTATGTTATATATAATATAATTTTAATATAATATATAATTTTAATTATATATAGTATTTTTTTTAGCTTTAATTGTAAAATTTTAATATTATTGTTAAATTTCAGATTATGCTATTGATCGGGTAGGATTTGGGGGTAGAGGATATATTTACAAGTTTGAATAGGGGAGGGGACAGAGGAGAGTTTCATAAGAGTCGGATGAGAGGTGGAAGTAAGTAGTAAAAGTAGGGGTGGTGTGGGCTCTCCCAACTCATATTTTAGCCGTTGTTCTCGCTTCTAAGGGCTTATTTGGAGTGTCTTAAATAAATATATTTTTTGTCTTTTTAGATTTAAAAATTGAGATTGAAAATATAAATATTTAGGTTAATTTTTTGATTTTTTATAGAAAAATGTGTATTAAAAAATTGTATAAATTAATGTATAGGAAAAAATTAGTATTAGAAATTGTCCAGCCGTAATTATTGACTTTTGGTAAATAGTGATAACTTTTTAACTTTTTGAGTAATTTTTTGATTTTTTAGCTTTTTTGAGACTTCTCAAACTTGGCCTAATTATAATTTTACAAAAAATGTTATAGATCTCAAATTTTTTATGAAATAAATGATCAAATATTTTATATAGATGTAGAGTCACATGGGTGTAATTATTTATTTAGTAAAAAATTTAACATTATTCCAATTTTAAATAAGTCTTTTATTGAACTAAAAAAAATTGTAAATGGGTCTTTTATTCGGTAACAATTTACAACGATATGGAGCGTGCACATATTGTAGCTTAATAGCGCGTAACAAACCTTGCCCAACCTCCGAAGGACCCCAAAACTGTTTCATTCATTTTTACGGAAAAATTATTGGGTGCAGAAAAAGTATCACGGCGCATGTCCTACAGTGTCTTTAACTAATCACAAATACTATTGACTTCTTATATTGTCTTTTTATCACCTAATATATAAATGTAGCCTCCACTCACTCAACCAATTAGAAAAGAAAAAAGTACCACGACATCTACCCTGCCTACACCTAAAAATTTCTCCATTTTTACCCATACATATCTCCTCTCTCTCTCCAATGGGGCATTTTAAAGGAAAATTCAATGGGACATTTATGTTAGCGGTTTGATTTAGTTTTGGCATTATATATATATATATAAAAGTTATGATTTGAATGTGAAATTATGAATTAAATTTTAAAAATAGAAAATTTGTTTGATTATGAATTTTGAAAAAAGTTTTAAAAAGTGTTTTGAAAGGAATTTAGAAAAGAGTTTTTGAATTTTAAATTCTGAAAGGAGTTTTGAGTTATATTTTGAGTTTTGAGTTTTTGAATTTTGAATTGTATTTTGAATTTTTTTGGATTTTTTTAAATATTAAAAAATGTTTAAGAAAATTTTATTTTTTATTTTTAATATATCTTTTTTATTTAAATGTTTTTTATTTTTTAATTTTAAATATTTTATTTTATTTTGTAAATACTTTAATTTTCAGTTTTAAAATTTTAAACTCAAAACACAACTCTACGCCTCCGTTTGGAAAGTGGGTTGGCTTTTTGACTTTTTAGCTTTTTTAGCTATTTTAACCTGTGCTAAAAAACTTGGTTTGGGAAAGACTTTTTGACTTTTTTTTGTGAGAGAAGAGTGTAATGATTATGGGTTGGATGTGATGTTTTTTTTGTTGTGGCTAAAATAGCCTATTTTGTTTTTTGTGACTAAAATAGTCAAAAAAGCCTGGAAACCTTCTTCCCAAACGGTGCCGTAATCGTAACCAAACACATAACTCAAAACTCAATTCAAAAATTATTTTCAAAACTCATATCCAAACACATAACTCGAAACTGTACAGTATTTTTCAAAACGCTACACTTAAATCGTAACTAAATATATAACAAAAAAAATTAAAATATTAAAAAATATTTTTTATAAAATAAAATAAAATATTTAAAATAAAAATTATATATTTAAAATATTTTTTTTTCAATTTTTTAATATAGTGCACATTAAAATAAATAAATAAATATTTAAAATATAAAATATTTATCCTAAAAAAATAAAAGTAAGAAAATATTTAAATATTTAAAAGATAAATAAATCCAAAAAATTTTAAAAGACAACACTCAAATCATGATTCTAAAAATAATTTTAAAAAACAAAATAAAAAATATTTTTTAATTTTTTTTAATAGAGTTTGAAAAGAGTTTTGGTTTTGAGTTTTGAAAATAATTTTGAATTGAATTTTGAGTTGTGTATTTCGTTATAAGTTTTGAAATTAATTTTTGAATAATTTTGATTTGCGTGTTTAGTTATGAATTTTGAAAAATATTTTAAAAATTTCGAATGTGGAATCATAATTCCACACTCAAACCAAACCCATCCTATATTTTTACAGATTTTGAATATGTTTGTATGGTGGAGATTGAATTGATAATGTGTGAGATCTATACATAAATGAATCTAAGTCATTAATTTCTTTTTCTGGATAAACTCTGAATTGATAAGGGTGAATTTGTAATATTGTTACATTTTAAAATAAGGATAATTTCAATTAAATGTAATGATTTAAAAAATAAATAAATAAATAGTAATTTTATATACATTAATAATTAAATTTTTTTTTTTATAATTTTGTAATAATAATCTGGTAGGCCACTAATAAATAATTTTCCCTTTAAAATCACCTTCTAAAAAATTGTATACCATGGGCATGTTATGATATTTGGTTCATAAATTTAAATAAAAATTTGAAAATTGAAACAACAAATGTAAGTGAAATATAATTATTTTTCACACAATTGTTCCCTTTCTCTTTCCAAATTTATAAAGCAAACACACAGGCTTATAGTATTGATTATTGCAAATATCTTAATTAAATTATTTTCAGCATAATTAAATTTAAAAAAAAAAACATAATGAGTGAAAACCAATATCATAATGAGTCAAAATTAAATCATAACTACCATCACAATAAGCCATAATCAATTATCACAAACGTCTAAAAGAGTGTGTATTACATAATCTCCCTCTTCAATATCCCAAAGAAAAACAAGGGTAAATTACAAATATATTATCTCACATTTATTTAAAATATAAATTATTCTTTGTGATTCTGTAAATTATATTCCGCTCTTTGAAATTTTTAATTTCATAATAAATAGTTTATTTTATTAATAAATCATCAAGTTAATTAATAATTTTTTATAATGTTAAAATTTTATTTTAATTATTAATTCATATAATTTTATTATTGTATAAAAAAATAATTAATAATTTGCAAATATCTTAATTAAATTATTTTCAGTCATAATTAAATTAAAAAAAAAAAAACATAATGAGTGAAAACCAATATCATAATGAGTCAAAATTAAATCATAACTACCATCACAATAAGTCATAATCAATTATCACAAACGTCTAAAAGAGTGTGTATTACATAATCTCCCTATTCAATATCCCAAAGAAAAACAAGGGTAAATTACAAATATATTATCTCAGATTTATTTAAAATATAAATTATTCTTTGTGATTCTGTAAATTATATTCCGCTCTTTGAAATTTTTAATTTCATAATAAATAGTTTATTTTATTAATAAATCATCAAGTTAATTAATAATTTTTTATAATGTTAAAATTTTATTTTAATTATTAATTCATATAATTTTATTATTGTATAAAAAAATAATTAATAATTTTACTTTTTCAATTAATTTTATTAAATAAAAAATTACATATGTAATTTGCAACTTGAAATGGCAGATACAATACACATCATTAGGAGAATTTGCAAAAGAAAGTTTAAAAATGATTAAGAGCTTTAAAAAAAGAGCTTAAGAGAGTCCTAATTATAATGAATTCCGCTGTAACGTAATATTTTGTGTTAGATATTTTTTTTTTAAATTTTTTTTGACCTTGTTACATAAATAAAACTCACTTTAGAGCTCTATTATTATATCTCTGTAACATCACTCAAGAAAGTTTTTAGGGAGATTTACCAATAAATCCCAAAATGTAAACTTATGAACCAATTGGTCCCATTTTTATTCTAGTAAGCCGTTTAGTCATGGAAAATTCTAAGAGACGTAATTACCCTCATTTAGACACCACTAATCTCTCTCAGCATTCTCTCTCTCTCTCACATGGAGACCCAACCACACACATATCTTCTCTATCTAGCAGACACAAGACACCATGCACACAAAACACCATTAACACACACACCATTAACACACACACTCAGCCCCAGCAGCCACACACACACACACACACACACACACATAGCACACACCAAACACAGCACACACACACAGCACCCACACTGATACACACGCGCACACAAAGACACACACACCAAACACAGCACAGACACACAGCACCCACACTGATACACACGCGCGCGCGCACACACACACACACAGCACACACCAAACACAGCACACACACACAGCACCCACACTGATACACACGCGCGCACACACACACACTAATGGCTTTAACACGCGCGCGCACACACACACTGATGGCTTTAACACACACACACACACACATTTCCCTCCGCCGAGCACCGCCACAGCGGCGTTCCGGCCACCATCTCCGCCACCAAACGCCCCAAAGCCCATACGTCCGCAGCCGCCTCCTGCTGTCCGGCCACCACTGTCTCCGGCGGCATATACATCGGCGTACCTCTTAACTCAAAACCCACGATCTTCTCTCCCGATTTATTCGTCAAACCAAAATCGGCGATCTTCGCGACATCGTTTTGACATAGAAGAACGTTTTGAAGCTTGAGATCACAGTGAACAAACCCATTCTCGTGAATACATTGAAGACCCTGTAGAATCGACTCTGTGTGTCGCCGGACTTCGGATTCCAGCAATCTCCAGTGACCGAAGTTCTTGAGCTTGTCAGCCAAAGAACCACCCATAGCGTATTCTAAGAACAGATTATACAATTTCTCGCCGTTTTCGAAGCTGAAATCTCCTCCGAAACACTCGATAATCTGTGGGCAATCTTTGAGTTGTTGTAAAATCGATTTTTCATGATCGAGCAAAGCAGAGTGTGAAGACCCACAAGTTTTCACGGCCATTAATGGAGGAAATTGAAGGCTCTGACTAATTAGGTAAAATCGTCCACGCAGTTACACTAAATATGAAAAATAGGATCAGCAAAAAACAAACTTCTCCACTGATAGGACTTATCCGAACAAAAGAATAAAGTTGAGACTAATTGATTTAATAGTTTGTGAAATGAGATTTATTGATAAATTTTCTAAGTTTTTATTTGAATGAATAATTTTTCTTAATTTATATTGGTGAGTTGTAGGTCGGGGGGCCCATGGGCATTTCCGAATGGACCCCATGTATCCCATCTGATATTTTGGTCTTTGGTATGCGCGATGCATATGGGTATCGGGACGGTGGCATCTTTTTGAGCTGCTGCGCCATTGCGGTCCTGACACGGCTCTCTTTTGATGCTTTCAAGTTGTTGCCTCACTTTTAAAAAATGAAAAAAAAATATTTTATGCAATATCACCATCACAAAAATTTAATAATAATAAATAAATTATAATTTATATTTCTAGATCGGATGGACACAGGGTCTGATGACCCACCCAACTCATATTTTTTCTAGTTTGAGTTTAATATTAAATTTATAAAGTTGAGTTAGCATGAACCTTTAGATTCTCGAATAGAACGGCCTTGAAAATAGTTATTGAGGGGTTGTTTGGGATGATCTAAATAAGTGTAATTTTTAACTTTTTATGAAATATGGGTTGGGTTTGAAATGATGTGTTAGAGAGGTGATATGACTTAAATAAGATGATGTGATTTAAATAGGATAGTGACTTTTTGACTTTTTATCTTTTTCAAGACATGCCAAACTTAGCCTGAGTTCGGTTTAACTTGATTTAATTTTAATAAATTTTATATCATTTATGTGTTATATGGTAAATTTACTTTCACTCCCTAAGACCATCTCCAACGGTGAACCAAACCCAGCATCAGATTTAAATTTTGATGAAAAACCCACTTTTTCACGCTCCAACGGTTTCACCAAATCGATATCAAATCCAGAATTCAGCAAAAATGGTACAAAACTGAGTGCAGGCGAAGCATTTCAGCAAATCACTGTTCTTAACCGTTGGGATGAGACGAACAGGTCGACCATCCGGTTGACCAACCGGTTAACCAACCGGTCGCCCCGGAGAAAGTTCAGACCGTTCACAAAAAGGTTCAAACCAGTCCAAAAAAAAAAAATTGCCTAGGTGGTCGACCACCCGGTCAACCGGCCGGTTGACCACCCGGTCGACCACCAAAAGTTCAAAAAGTTCCAAAAAAAAAAGGTTCAAACGGGTAAAAAAAAAAAAAAAAAATTTTTTTTGCCATTACCGGTTGACCGGCCGGTCAACCAACCGGTTGCCCAGCGCAAATTTGATGAAACGGATTGTTTGAAGTGATGTGTTAGAGAGGTGATGTGACTTAAATAAGATGATGTGATTTAAATAGGATAGTGACTTTTTGACTTTTTATCTTTTTCAAGACATGCCAAACTTAACCTGAGTTCGGTTTAACTTGATTTAATTTTAATAAATTTTATATCATTTATGTGTTATATGGTAAATTTACTTTCACTCCCTAAGGTATGGTTCATCTTTTCCTTTTGGTTCCAAAAAAACACTATTCTCACACTTTGATTCTTAATATTGTTAGTTTTTTATTTTTTATTTACAAAAAATAGAAAGCAAGTTTTTTTGGAAAAAATAAAATTAGAAATTTGTTTATTATACAAAAATATTTTTAAAACAAATGAAAACAAGCCTCTCTCACAAAAAAAGTCAAAAAATTCAAAAAGTCCTTTCCAAACCAAGCTTTTTAGCCCAGACTAAAATAGTCAAAAAAGTCAAAAAAACTAAAAAGTCAACCCACTTCCCAAACGGAGACTAAGCCTCCGTTTGGGAAGTGGGTTGGCTTTTTAGCGTTTTAGCTTTTTTTACTATTTTAGCCTGGGTTAAAAAGTTTGATTTGGGAAAGACTTTTTGATTTTTTTGTGAGAGAAAAGTGTAATGATTATGGATTAGATGTGATGTTTTATTTATTATGACTAAAATAATATATTTTATTTTTTGTGACTATTTTAACCCCAAAACCACTTGCCAAACGCCACCTAAATATGTTTGGTAAATTGTTTAATGTAATGACTGTTGATAAAGGTTCGGAAATGCCTGGTAGCTCGAAGCTACCAGGCTCGAAATGGCTCGAGAGGGAGAGGGAGAGAAAGAGAGGGAGAGGAGAAAGAGAAGGGAGGGAGAGGAAGGTCGGCGTCGTCGCAGCCCCCCCGCCCCGCCGTCGTCGCAGCCTCGCCCCGCCATCGTCGCAGCTCCGGCCGCTGCTGCTGCTTCCTCCTCCGTCGCAGCCCCGCCTCCGTCGCAGCCCAGCCTCCCCTCCTCCTCAAACCGGGTTTTTATGGCCCCCTCCCCTCCCCTCCCTCCTCCTCCTCCTCCTCCTCCTCGCCACCTAAATATGTTTGGTAAATTGTTTAATGTAATGACTGTTGATAAAGGTTGGATAAATATATTAATCGGCAATCGACGTGGCCTTTGGAGTTAAAGTTTGAAGTGTTGTGTCATGGCAGTGATTGACCGACGGCCAAAGCTCATCGGCAATTGGCTAGAACCTGTTGGGTAGTGGTGGATGTGAGTTGTGGGGGAGGAAGATGAAAGTGAAACTTGTTTTTTTGAAAAAAAAAAAAATGAAAATAATTTTTTTTCATTTCCAAGAAAAAAAAATTGAAAATTTGGGAATCAATTTCTTTCTTTTTTTAAAAAAATAAAAATAAACTAAACTAAACTAAACAAGTTTTCATTTCCACATTCTAAAAATAAAAAATAAAGGAAAAAAGAAACCAAAGTATTAACAAATGACCCCTGAACTATCACATTCTAACTTCCTTGGTCTAAATTTCATCAACCGTTATACTTTTGTAACTAAAAATAAAAATTACACTTTTACCACTATGGTATATGCCTTTTTTCCAATTTGATCCTTAAACAAAAAGATTGATCAATTAAAATAAAAATAAAAATAGTTTTTTACAATCATAGTTTACCGCATCATTTATTAAAAATATTATCTCATAACACTTCATCGACCCTCTTTTGTTGAGTTTGGGAATAGCTTTTTAGAGTGAGGATGGTTTTGAAACTAGTTTGGGTTTAGAAATTTAAAAATTATCTTAAAAATTTTTAAGTTTTCTTACTTTAGAAGTAAAAGTATAATTTACAATTAGGAGGAAAAATACATCCACCAAATTTTGAACTTAGTACACAATGAACAAAAACTATTCTGCCAACTTAACTATAAAATGAAAAAGAAAAAGAAAAAGAAAAGGTAACCAATGAGAGAGAGAGGGGGTCAAAGGGGGTGGGGGAAAAGGGGGATGAATCATTACTCAATTTACAATTAGGAGGAAAAATACATCCACCAAATTTTGAACTTAGTACACAATGAACAAAAACTATTCTGCCAACTTAACTATAAAATGATTTGTTCTTAATATATAAATTTATGATAATATAATTTTACGACCGAACTTAAAATACAATCAATGTCAAGTTGTGTTTGACTTGGTTACGAGATTTCTTTATTTTTAGTAGCGTTAGGCCCTTTTTTACGCAGAACAAAAAAATTAATTGTTAGACCATTTTTAGTATATTGTCATTTTAATTGTATCAATGTCATATTTTAGCATTCTATAGTGTCAAAATATTATATTTTGAAAGATCCATTTCAAAGGAGTATATGTTATTATTTTTTTCATATGATCATCATATAATTCAATTTTCTACCCTGCGATGTATACCTAATTATATGAATTTATATATTTTTAAATTCAAATTTTAATAAAAAAATTTGTATCCTAATAATTAATATTTATATAAAAAATCAATTAATTAGTTTAATTCAATTTTTTAATGCATTAGTGCTATTAGTGGTGATGTTTTTAGTGGGATGAATCATTGTTGTTTTTAGTATATTGTCATTTTAATTGTATCAATGTCATATTTTAGCAGTCTATAGTGTCAAAATATTATATTTTGAAAGATCCCTTTCAAAGGAGTATATGTTATTATTTTTTTTCATATGATCATCATATAATTCAATTTTCTACCCTGCGATGTATACCTAATTATATGAATTTATATATTTTTAAATTCAAATTTTAATAAAAAAATTTGAATCCTAATAATTAATATTTATATAAAAAATCAATTAATTAGTTTAATTCAAGAATACATTAAATTAATGGGAGTTTTTTTGATAAATCCACTTTCTAAGAGTTTTATTCCATCCAACCCATATTCTTTTCGACTATTTCATTAGGTCCTATTTGAGATAAGAAGACCAAAATACCATTTTCATCTATTTATGTTCCATTTAGTTCACATTATTTTCTTATGTTTCAATAAGTCCTATGGGTGACATAATTACCAAAATACCCATAATGTGAATGTTCACACCGTCAATGTGAATGTTCATATCGTTAATGTGTGGGGGCCAGGCTCATGTCGATCCTCGTGGGTGCCCGGAAAAATTCGAGTCGGGTCGGGGCAGGCCCGGCCCATTGACAATGTGAATTTTAACATTACATGTTAACATTCATATTAATAGGAGTGTAAAATTGGCCCGCGTCCCGTGGCGGCGTGAAACCCGCCTACGGCCTATGAGCGGCCCGGGCGGGCCCGGTTCGGCCCATTGACAATGTGAATATTCACATTAATATATTAACATTCACATTGATAAGAGTATAAAATTGGCCCGCGGCCCATTGGCGGCCAAAAGCCCACCCACGGTCTAGGGTGGGCCCGGCCCAACCCATTGACAATGTGAATATTCATATTGACATGTTAACATTCACATTGATAGGAGTGTAAAAGTAGTCCGCGCCTCGTGGCTGCTCGAAACCCGCCCACGGTCCGTGGGCGGCCCCGAGCGGGCTTGGCCCGGCCCTGTTGACAATGTGAATAGTCACATTGACATGTTAACATTTACATTGATAATAGTATAAAATTGGCCAGCGGCCCAGGGT